AAAAGGAATTTCTCTAGGTTTAGTTATGTTTCTTAGGTATCCCTTTTCTACTACATTATAATATCAACAATTAATCTCTTCAAAGTTATATTAATTTTTTTAGTATAAGGGTTCTGTATTTCGTTCCCCCAGGCTCTATTTTTAACTTTGTAAAACCCCACATACGCATACATAATATAAATTACTCTTATTTCCTACGGTATTATAAGCTATTAAGTAAAAGCTAAGAAATCCAAAAAGAATTTAGTTATTTGTATATTAGATGCCATATAAAAACAATTACAATACAATATAAAAATTGGAGTAAAGTTTGAAAATCTCTTTTGAGAGAACTAAATTACGAAATTTTTATTTACGGAAGAATTTAAAAATAATAATATTAAATATACTCTTGAAAACTGCATAAATAATTTATTCCTCATATTTTTAAATAGTCATGATCCCACTCCTGTTTATTATCACAGTATTATTTTGATATAAGCTGACCTACTTAAAAATAGTTTTCGCCTAGTTCTCATATTTCATCAATTCATCTAAATATAAAGCTATAAAAAAGTATTTTTTTCTTCCACGGAATTCGAAATCAATTAAAAATTTCGATTATTATTTTGAAATTTTCCCATTATGAGGTTATTACACTATTATATAAAATTTACGGAGATTTCCTATGTAGATACATAGATCGAAACCACTTTAATAATGCAAAACTAATTTATGGAAAAACCAATGTGGACGTGATTGAAAGTTTTTAAGAGGTCTCAGGGGTTTAATTTTGTTTCGAGGGGTTAAAATGCAAACAGTTTTCAAACAGGTATAATTCTTTTAAATTTAAATTAAATAATTCGAATCCTTCACATGTTATTTACAAAAGATTATACTTTTAAAGAAATTGCAAAATGTTTGAAATATAATCATAATTTGAAAAATTATAAGTTTAAGAAAATAAGAAATAATTTCGTAATAAATATTAAGTAGTTTTTGCATTGCGCATGCGTTTTTCTAGAATAGTAGCTCTAATTACTAGCAATAAGTTGATTTATAAAGTTAAATGTATCCTTATTACACTGTAGTCTTTTTATATAAATAGAATAATACATTTTATTTTAAAAAAAATTAAAAATTTCATTTTCAATTTTTTTAATTCGATATTTTTTAAATATTTTTAAATACAAAAGACATATTACGCTTGAATTAATAGTGTTTAAAGAGTATGATACATTTTATAGTTCTGCAAGGTTTTATTCACACACACACATCAAAGGCTACCATTTTAGAAAATAGCGTGGGCAACGCAAAAATTACTTAATATGTATCACAAAATTATTTGTTATTTTCATGCGCTTATAATTTTTTAAAATTACGATTATAATTCAAACGTTTTGTACTTATTTGACACCATAATCATTTGTAAATAATGTGTGAAAGATTCGAATTATTAAATTTAAATTTAAAAGAATTATATCTGTTTGAAAACTGTTTGTATTTAAACCTCTCGAGACAAAATTAACACCCTAAGACCTCTTAAGCAAACAAACAGATTTTCTAGAATGAAATGTTAAACATGGGAAGCGAAACATTGAAATCAAATTTCCCTAATATAAAAGTAGAATTTTGCGTATTCTTCCAGTATATACTTCTTTTTTTTTTCATTTTCATATTCATAACTGTGGAAACTTTCTTATTATGCAAAACACAAATATGAATTGAAAAAAGAGAAACAAGATAACTTATTCTTTGCTCTGCAGAGAAAATTATGGGTGGGTTCCACATGATGAAAACATCCTAGTGTGATCTCCGCACACATTTCGAAATAATATTTCTGGGAAATTCAATACTAAATAACATTGTTATTTTTTAAAAATCATTGCTATCATATTTAGAATATTGTTAAGAAACGAAATACATTGAATGTACATTAATGTTTTTTGTAATTTTACAATGTGCATTATTCTGAAAAATCGAACTTAGAATAATGTTAAGAATTTCGTTGGCAGTTTTTTATAAAATATAGGTGCTATGTGGCCCTGTGGCCGAGTGGTAGCGTATCGTGCTTCCACAACTCAGGTTCTATCCTCGGGCTGGACGAGGTCAATTCAGTCTTTCCTCCCTTCAGTGGGTCGATAAAATGAGTGCTAAGCTTGCTTTTGGGGACTAAAGCACCGGGGATATCGCTTCAGACTGAGCACCTGATCGAGACATCTGCTCATGCACCTCAGCTCCCAATGGTCTCATTTACTGATATGCATAGAGTAGGTCAAGCCCTCATGGGCTTTTGCGCTACTGAGTTTGAGTTTTATAGGCGCTACGTAAGATTGAAACGACAATATCTAAAAAGAATAATCAGAAAGTTAATAAACTCAAAGAACCAAAAGACACAGTTATCAAAGGTTTTTATTTTTAATTGAATCTGGTAACCCAGAATGGAAATAAAAAAGCATCAACTCGGCTTGTGGTAGGACCACGATATGGTATTTCACAAAGCAACTCATCTAGGTACCAAAACAATGAAATTACGGTTAGCTTCCTGAAGGTGGCACTATATTACCTCTTAATTATTTGCCACAAGTCTTCTTTTGGATTCACTCATATTAGGCATGGATATTGCATCGAATCACATTTCATAAGATTGGTGAGAAATCAGGGAAGAATGATAGCGAGGGAGTTACTGAGCAATTTGGCTAAAACGCGTAATCCTGCTACCAGAGAGCATTGGTACCACTCGGAGTATCAGTTGGATGTAATACTAACTGGAATACATATGTACCATGCTGTCACAAACGAAGGAACCAAAAGACCATGTTGTTGCGCCGTTATACCTTCCACAGATGCAGCCATGATGACTTTCAGAGAATATAAAGGCTGCCTAACACTGCAAAATGTATGTAAATTAAGGCTTGCGTGCCATCTCTGCTTGCCTGTAGTTTCATAGATCCACATGTACTAATGCCACTCAGTTCACAGTGAGTAAGTAAATATTAACGTCGAACTATTCAGCTACTCGAGGGCTTTGGGCAAAGAATCTCATCATTTTCAACAAGGATCAAGTGATGAGTTAGTATAATCCACGTACCCTTACTTCCACACCACACCAACTGGATGACGTAAAAGGCCCGACATGCATTACCCCACTCTGTATGGCCGATCTATAGAGATACTAGGCTTGAACTAATGACAAACTGGCCTTTTTCGAGACCTTGACCACTAGACTACGGCCGTCACACCACTCTGTCGATATCGTCACCCATAAACCTTGGTGCATTTATTTGTTCCAATCTGTAACAGAACCAGTTCTTATATGCCCTTTGGTGTTGTGTGTGTCAGTTCAGGTTAGACATAAGGATCAACCAGCCTTCATCTCAGTGAAATCATTAAGTATGTCGTAAATCCTTTGTATGCTTGAAATGTTTCCTCTGAAGACGGATTGGTATTTTTAGGTATTGCATGCATTACCTGCTCCAAAAGAAAAATTCCAAGATGGTTCTAACAAAGATAAGTGCATGCATTTTTTCATTGAGCATATTCCCTATATTTTAATCGTCACGTGGAACAGAACTGTGCATTTAATGGCATTTGCGTTTTCGATTAGCTGCACTTACCCTAAAAATTTCATAATTTCCCCTCCTCCATTTCTTAGTGTTTGTATTGTCAATATCAAGCTAAGGAATTTTGATAAGGTTTTGTTTTTAAGCCTTGAATTCTACCCTTTGAAAAACTTACGGGGATGGTAACCATTCGTCTCCCACACAACATGAGTTTTAGCAAGCTTAACACTCATTTTAAAAGTTAATAATAAAAATATTATACTACATGCAGAGGATTTCATGACATCCAATCTTCACATAAGCAAGAAAGTAAAATTTATTTATTTTCGAAGCAATATTTACGCATTGTAGCGCGAACATGATAGAACATGATAAACAAAATTTGCGTTTCATTCTATGCTACTCACATGAGCAAGAAACATAAGTTTTCCTTTTTTTAGTTTCCAGTTGATGAGGTGGCTCAATGTTCTGCTCCAGTTTCAAAAGTTCACTTATAATTGTCCTTGTTGATCGAGGCAAAGTTGATACATTTATATCTTTCTTCAACTATGTCGCAAGGAGATATTCACTTATTTTTATCTCAAACTTTCTTCCAAATAATGCTTTTCCAGATTTGCGAGCCATATTATGTACATATATAACATATGCATTCACTAAACTGATATTTATCATGCTACCTTTGAATTCGTGATTTTAAACTTTCATAAAAATTTCATTTTCTGATTCATCCTCAGAATTAAAATTATCCTCATCAATTAACTCTTTTAATAATTCTCCGATAGCCTCAGGTTTACCCCAAATGTTTTCTTCGTGAAAGAAAGTTTTGACATCATCTCGAAAACGCAGAAGAAAAACTAAGACAGATTCTCAGTTCCAAACGTTACTCTGCAACCCATTCGTCTCTCAGACTAACATTGTTCTAAAAATACTATATGCGAAAATATTTTGAGAAAAAGAAATACCATTATCTGCAGTAGCCAAGGTCATATGAAAGTACTGAGTTGCGCGTTACATTTCCTGTTTTGGGTGGGAGAATACAGAGTTATTTGTTATAGCCATAGTCTGCTAGACAAATGGGTAGATATCTAGGGTTATCCATCTTGTGCAAAAGTATTGTTTGTTCATTTAAATTTTTCTTTCGTTTTCAGAATACTATATTTAACAAGTAATATATATATATAAATTGAGTCAATTCCTACTTAGGTCAATAAAGATAAATTCTAATTAAGTTATTTTTTAAATAATTACAATTGATATAAATATGCATATACATATAGCAGAATCTCATTAATTATGAAATGACAAAATAGATATAATTTTTCTTTCCATTTTTTATATTCTTTTCTATATATGGTGTTGGACTATTTATTTGTTTGTTACTATTTATTCATTAATTAAATTTAATTACTCCAGTAAAATAATATGGCAAAAAAGAAATCACTTTCTCAGAAATTTGGCTATCCCAGGTGGACTTCGAATCCTCGACTTTTGGATGATAAATCAAAAGCACTATCCATTGCGCTACTGGAACACAACGAGCGATTTTTCTTTCTGTATGTGGTGTTGGACTATTATTTTTCTTTTTGTCACTATTTATTCATATCCTAAATAGAAATAATGAATTAATATTTGAAAAAACTGTATTAACATCAAGTGTCAACCACTACTAGTTTAAAAAAATGTACTTGAACTTGAGTGGATGTATAAAACTATATTTTTAAAGAGTGAAAATTTGAGTAATATATATATATATATATATATATATATATTAATATTCGTTTAATTTTTTTTTTTTTTTTCTCGCTTTAGAAATTGGGGAGAATTTGTTTCAGAATATTAATCAGTGGTTTTATCATACCTCTGTGAGTTTTGTATACTTTGAATTTTGTTAATTTTTATATACTTTGAATTTTTTTATGTACTTTAAATTTTAGTTTCTTTTATTTGGTTTTCCTACCGAGTTGCAAAGGGGGAAGGTTGGCGCCTTAAAACTAGTCTAACCCACTTATTCGGTCCTAAGTCCGAAATTGCATTCTGACTCGCTAGGTTCTTTTTTATAATTCCTTTTAGTATTTTTTCGATCTTCGATGTTTTGCTTTTATATTCTTATTACTTATTTCTTGTTATGTTCATTATCTATTATTTCTGGTATTTGAAATATTATACAAATTTATTTTATATATATATATATATATATATAAGTTTGTGTGAAGTGTTTGCCCACGATGTGAACTCAACTGATTTTAATATAGTTTTGCATATTGTGTGTCATTTCGTCCAACTTAAAATAAAGGATATTTTTTATTTCAATTAATGACGTCATAATTTATTTATTGTAGGAAATGTAAAGGATCCGAGAAAAGGGAAAATTTGCAAAATGTCGCGATGAGTGTATGTCTACCGAAGAGGATTTTGTTGACTAAAGTGCATGAAAAGTGAATGCTTGGCATATTTTGGGGCGCGGAATTTGAATTTCGATTCGGTTTTAATTAATATCGGGAACTTTTCCAGATAATGCCAGTCGATTGTATTTTAGACACACTGTGGCAGTCTGAGGTGGATTAAGTGGGAGGCGGACCTGGGGGCCACAGGGGTCACCAGCACCAGAAGAGGCCTCTAACTTGATGGATTCTATTTATAAATTCAACGTGCAACAAAAAGATCTTGAACCGATATTACACCCGGATGATTTCCTCGTATTTAAGTCATGTATCAGCCCTAGCCATGTTCTACCCATATATCTGTATTGTTGCAACCTGTACAAATTTTTCCCGTGCATTTTATTGTTTTCTCAAATTTTATTTCGAACAAATGAATACTATTCAGATAAAACAAGTTCTTTTTCAGTTCACAGCAGTGTTTAATTACTCTCGGGTACATTTTTAACTGATGGAAAAAATCCCAACACCAAGAAAAAAATATCGCAATACAAATCGGCAATCAGTTACCTATACAAATGTATAGGTAACATATTTAATTGATAAAAGTTTTTAGATCACTGGTTAATGTAATCGCGAGTAGAGCCATTTCCGATATGAAATGATGATACTTTAAAACCCGGTGTAACCACCACAATTTTAAATGCAAGCATGCAAACACGCATGCCATGTGTCGTACTGGTACTGGATATCTGTTTGTGGAATGAATTGTATGACTGTTGCACTTGGTCTGTCAATATAAGTTTGTTTAATTCTGGTTGTGGATGAAGCAGATATTGCCACTCAATGATTTCCCATTCGTGCACGATTACAGGAAGACCTGGTTATCCTGCAGGCCAACTTAACACGTTGACACCCTATAAAGTCCGTTGGATTACAACAGGGATGAAGAAGTACGTTATCCTTTAGGAAAAAACCCGTGAATGTTGTTTATACAACGTAGTGAAACAGTTTGAATCACCAGACTGGCATACTAGTTTGCAGTTAGGGTGTGTGAATTAACCCTGAGAGTGCTCCATCAAACAAAGAACATTTCTCATGCCAGACCCTAATGTATGTGCAAATCGAGTGTATCTAGGCAGTGTATCTTTGTTTGCAGGCGCTGACATGGCCTTCCTCTAACCAATATACTGCCATCACTGTAGTTTTGTAACGTACATTCCTGAACCCCCATCGTGGGGCTGGGCCGGGATTCTAGGGCCCCATAGCCTGACTTACATCAAGTATGGCTTGGGGCCCCTAATATTCTCTGTTACGCTACAGCGTCTCTGGCACCAAGACAGAAACAGCTTTGATCGGAGAACACAATACATCGCCACTCTACTCTCCAATGATCTCTAGCGTGACATCACTGAAGTCACAGATGTCAATGTTTTAAGCTGTTGTCGTTTCTGATCTCCATCTCTAGCCAAGCTAAACCAAAGTCCATGATCTCATTCACTCTCATTAAGTCCAACACCATTAGATTGGTCTTCAAAAATATCTTGTTTTAAAAGCCCCAGGCAACCAAGAATGTGTTCTGGCAGAAAGAACACGTAACATAAGTAGGAAAAATTTTGTTTCCATCCTTAAAAGTCGAAGTTCGGAGATGGCCATTCCGGAAACGAGTTAGAAGAGTTTGTTCCTGCCTGCTACATTGAAAGAAAGCGAATGTTTAGAGCTAATGGTATGAACGATACAGGACTTCTGGCTAGGTGCTATTTCTTAACCCACGGTCACTCGCGCCTGTTTTTCTACCGTCGTTACTCGCGGGGTGTAGAGAAAACCCCAAACTTTTAACACGCGTATTTAATTATGAAAATAAAATTAAGTCATTATGATACATATTTATAAAGTACAAGATTTTTTTTGTATTATACAAATAAAATTATTAAATGTATTGCATACAAATGAGACTAACATTAATTTAAACTAAATATACAAAATTTTCATTTTAAAACACATAATTTTATATTTTTTCATAAACCAGTATATATGAAACGTCTATACCAGTAATAAATATACTTTATAAATAATGAGATAATGATAGTAGAAAGTAGAAAAATAATATTTTAATCATTTTCCAAGCATTCAGAGCAGACTGTATACATATGCTCAACTTCTCGCGGGAGTTCTTAGCCACCCCAGATAATCTTCTGAAGGTCATTACATTCCAATCATTCGAGAAAAAGGGAATGCATCAGGCCTGAAGGTTCAATGACCTAAAATGGGCAGCTACAGAAAAAATCATGTTTCTGCACTTTTTTAAGAATCCTGGAAAGATTTTCTTGTTGTTGGGTGTACAGAACACCCCGCGCGATATCACGGGTTAAGTGATTGATTTGTGTCACTCTGTGTTTCTCTGGTGCAGGAAAAAAACTATATTTTCTGCTATAGATGCACTACATTCCCCAGACATGTGGTGAGTACTTCTATCTTCTCTGTCAGTGGTGACCCGTGCGTGATTGAGCCTTAGTTTTCTTGAGGATGTGCCTTCCTTGAGCCACTGCTGCCAAAAACCATGCACAGTGGATACATTTCTTTCAAGTTTTTCTCTATTTCGTGAAAAAGAAACCCACCTTTTTTAGCTTTATTATACAACATCGCGTTCAAACTCCTCGGTCTGTTGAAAATTGTTTTATTCGTCGTCTTAAAGTAATTTTGGATAAACATCAACTCACTTCGTCAAATCTCAACGATAAATAATGCTCACGAACTTTATATTGCTTATTTAAATTACAATTTATTCACATCCTCAACGTGGCACAACTAGCGCCACACTTAAGGTATCCGACTCCGTTCGGAACCGTAATTTTGCAAAAGCGAATAAATGGATAATTTTCATGGTATTTAGTGTCACGTAGATTAGAATACATGTATACAATTGTTTTAAGGACATTTTGACAAAAAAAAAAATATTTAAATACAATATTTAGGCAAAAAATTAACTTAGAATAAATCTTTTTTCAAAATGTTCTCCTTTTGTGAAAAATGCTTCTATTATAATAATTTTTCGCCTGTATATAGCTCAGACCTCTCTACAAAGGCTCAACTAGAATTTTTGAAATGTATAACTTAGAAGTAGGTTTTTTACATATTTTATGACAACAGAGGGAAGCAATTTTAAGAAAAAAACGCCGATAATTATTTCAATGGATTGTAACTGAAAATGTAATGAGAATTTTTCAAAAATCATAGTTGAGCCTCTGTTAAGAGGTATGCGCTATATACAGGCAAAATGTTATTATAATAGAAGCTTTTTTTTCCCAAAGGAGAACATTTTGAAAAAGAATTATTCTAAGTTAATTTTTTGCCAAAATATTGTATTTAAATAGTTTGTTTTTGTTAAAATGTCCTTAAAACAATTTTATGTATGCAGTCTATTCTAAGTGACACTAAATATCATGAAAATTTTCCATTTATGCGCTTTTTTAAAATCACTGTTCCGAATGTAGTCGGATACCTTAAGCGCTTAGTGAGAAATTTGAATCAAAGTTATCTTCCAAATGTATAAACACGCCTGCCAAATTTCGTCGACATAACACAAATGATTTTTTGGAAAGGAATCTTTATATTTCCTTCAGTATATTTTACTAAAGAATTTAAATGAAGATACCACATGTTAAAACATATTTCCAGTTCAAAGGAAACTAATCAAATTTGTTGAATTTAGACCTTAATAGTTGTATAAAGATTAATAAAAGTGGTTCTAGATGAGCTCCGTAATACACATGAGGGCAAAAATTACCACAATACTGGAGGCTATTTTCCTTTAGAAACAGTGGAAAAATATGAAACTTCCCTAATGACCTTGATTGCGAATACCATATTCCAGAGGATAAATGCTAATAGCACAAATCATTGCAATAAGTTCAAATGTGAATAATTAAAAGGATCAAGTTTACTAAAATCTTTTGAAAGTTATATTCAAAATGTCAGAAATGAGCTTGGAAGTATGGACAAAGAGCAACTGATTTATCAGGGCACTCGTTTGAAGAGGAACCTGGACAAATTCACAGACACTAAAAAAAAAAATATATATATATTTTTGTTTAAAGTAAAGAAGTCGGTTACGAATTTTTGAAAGAAGGGAAAATTTCATACGTAATTCATG